CCCTCCAAACCCGGCCCAGCATCCCCAGTAAGGGCAGGGCTTGACTGGGAATCAGTCTGGATGGGCTGACTCTACAAAGAGCATCTTCTCCAAGTGCCAGTACAAGGTGGGATATAGAGGGAAGAGCAGGAGCTTCCCCAGCCCAGGGAGCTGAAAGGGACCAAGAGATCCCAGACCCTGGTGCCCACCTACAGTCAGGGGGTCATGGTATGGTCTGCACAGGGAGCCCTGGCACTGCCCTTGAAGTGAGGGGTCCTCCAGGATGTGCCAGGGAGCATTTCCCCTTTTCCCACCTCTCTCTTCTTTGTGACAGGCCCCCATTTTGCCGGCTCACAGTCTGTGGTTCCTCTGGGTGTTTTCCAGCCCAGCTGTGCTCACGAGGCACCACAAGCTCCTGTTCCCAGATTTCCTCACTAACCCTCGGCCCCACTGCTGTGACAGGGCTGCAGAGAGGGGCTTCTCTGCTACCACTCTCGTCTCCCCTACAAAGGGCTCCAAAAAGCAGCTCCCATCCTGTGTCACCTCCTGGTTGCCTGTGGTGAGTGGCAGCCACTCAGCTTCCATCAGAGATGGAGACTGTCCTGCCTTGGGACACACAAATGAACCTGTTTGGTGTTCCCAGTTGTGCTGGCAGATGAAGGAACTGTTACTGCCTGTGACATAATATGTGACAGGGCCAGATCAAGATCTAAGAAACCACAGAAAGATACTGATGTTCCGCCAACCGCAAGGCAGCCAGAGCTCACACTGTGTCATGGCTGGTAAAGGCAACCGAAACCATGATATCTGATTATTGCTCTGACAGTGCTCTGACTTCTCCTTAGTGAGGAAGCCTCCCCCTTCCCTGCTGCAGACATGCCCAAGGGCTGCCACTATCCTGTAGGATCATCACACAGCCCAGCCTTGCCCCTCACTCAGGGGCTTTACCCTGTCCAGGGCTTTCTGAAGGTGCATTCTTCAGCCCTGGCCCTCACAGCAGAGATGCCAGTAGTTTGGAAGGATGCCAGGTCATTTGTTGTGGCTCCTTCTCCTTCTCCTTCTCCTTCTCCTTCTCCTTCTCCTTCTCCTTCTCCTTCTCCTTCTCCTTCTCCTTCTCCTTCTCCTTCTCC